GTGTTTGTGTCGGTGTGTGTGTGCCAGAGATAGAAGGAAGTTCGAGCTCCAGTTGAGAGGCTGGAAAAACACTTCAGCGGAATGTTAATTGGTCTGAACCGTCGGCCTCTCAGATAAGACACAAGGGCGCTTTTAATAAATCACAGATCAGGAGGTCTTACTTCCTCTGGCCACAGGGGGAAGTGTGTGTGTGTTTCTCCCCCCTCTACCGTATATCCCATTGACATTAAAGAACTAAGACGACCTTTCTCTCTGCTCCCTCATCTCCCCCCGTCCTCACCCTCACTGTAGCTCCATGAAGTTCTGATGTGGCAGATTAGACCAAAGACCCCGGCCCAGACCTCGGACCGTGGGGTTTCTCCTCCACCCACGTTAAGAGTTGCGATGAAAAGCTCTTTTTAATGCTAATCTCCTCCCCCACCCCCCACTCCACCCCACCTCCCCATTAAAAATCAAAGATTAGCCTGAATGAAGCGTTTATTTGTACAGTCGAGATGCCGACGCCAACGTCTCCTACCACCGGGGGGCTCCCACTCCACCCGTCAGTCACCTGCAGTGTTGACCCGTCATCTGTCAGACTATATCCTCTGGGGTCAAAGGTCGTCCAGGTCAAAGTCATCCTAACAGGTGAGACTTGTCTGGTCTTTTATTTTGGAGCTGAAGGCTGGTCTTCTGTTTCCTGTGTGACTTTTGACCTTTTCTTAAAATTAGTAGAGAATCCACTCTTTTCATGAGTCTAATTCGTCTTTCATGTATATCTATGCACCACAGGGCAATTTAAAGCAAGGGTTCCCAACCCCCGGTCCGGGGACCGGTACTGGTCCATAAGTTATTTGGTTTTGGACCACAGTGAAAAAATGTACTTCAGTTTTACTAATTTACTTCATTTAAAAAAAAAAAAATCCAGTCATATCAGAGAATCTGTCAATGTTTCAGAACAACAGGTCAAAGGTCATTCAGATTCCGATGCTAACAGAAGAAAGTCTGAAATAATTTAATGATACCAGTGTTGGGAAATTGCGATTTAGAGGTTAAAGGGCGACACTTTGGAACCGGAAAAAAAAAAAGTCGAAATAACAACCGCTACAAACGGCGCGTCGGTTCCAAACATAAACAAAGCAGCACTTTCACCTCCTTGTGGTCACGTGGGTGTTGACGGGCAGTGCGATGGTTCCCGATTGCACAGGAATGAATGAAAAGCACAGAAGGAACTGAGGCTCCTTGTTTGGCAGGTGATTTACGAGGGGAGACCAGAGCTTCTGGGCTCTGTCCGACCAGGCGTAGATCTCTCTGGTTATAGCGCTCGGAGTCCTTTGTGTCCATTGTGCCTGGACTGGGATATGGGCGCAGACGGGAGGGAATGAGTGGGTGGGGGGTGTTAAAGTGGTTGAAGTACAGCCGTGGTGTTGCGGTGCCAGGTCGGTCGATCTCCACCACAGACGCTTCACTGTTCCAACGGGTCCTATCTTTAAAAAACACTTCCCACAGTATTTTTACAACAATGCTGTGTTTTCTTTTCCTGTTGTCTTTGTGGGGTTATCTGTGTCATCACACTCACCTGTTGGTAATTAGCTTCACTTGTGTCACCTGGTGTTCCCTGTGTATATATATATACCCCTCTCCCTCACTCTGTCGTGGTTGGATCATTGTGATTGTGACTGTCATTGTGTTAGATCAGTGTGATTCTGAGTGTTCTTGGATCATTGTTCAGTTCATTCTGTCAGGCTGTTCGTGTTCGTGAGTTTCCTACTCTGTGTTTCCTCGTGTTCCGTGTTTTCCTCGTGTTCCTCGAGAGTTCCATGCCTGTTAGTTCTTCGTGTTTCGTTAATTTGGACTTTGTAAATAAAACTTCCTGCACCAGAAAGAGTCTCACCAGTACTGCATTTGGGTCCTGTCTGCTTCCTGCGATGCCCGCACGTGACAAATGCTACGGTGTTAGCAGGGCTAGCAGCAAGGGGGCAGTGTGGACAAGTGGTGGGTTGGTTCTCTGGACTTACACCAGGCTATTATTTATTTACTTCGTACAGGAGTACAGTATGTGTCATCAAATCAATTACTCGGTGCTAAGCTCGATCCTGTTTAGCTGAACACTGATACTTGCAGGAATTGAAGAAATTTTTGTTTTTGACCTCCCCTTCAGGTCACCACTTCCAGCCCCAGGGGTCGCTGATGGGTTTAATATTCAGTCTAAGAACCAGTTAGTTCTCAGTGCTAAGCTCAATCCTGTTTAGTTGAACACTAATACTCGCAGGAATTGAAGAAAGAGCCACATTTTTTATTTTTTTAAATTACTATCTGCTCCCTCCTAGTGTACACTGTACACCTGATGACCTCCCCCTTCAGGTCACCACTTCCAGCCCCAGGGGTCGCTGCTGGGTTTATTTTGTTCCCTGTGATTCTTCGACTAAATTTTTCTTTAGTCTAAGAATATTTTCTTTGGTCGTTTTTTTTGTTTGTTTTTGTTTTTTTTCCCGTCCAGTCATCTGTTTAAACTTCTTGCAGAGCTGTTCTCTCCCCCTGCACTCCCCCTGACCCTCCCCTCTCCACCCCGTCTGTGGTTAGATCAGCTCTTCTATTCAGATCCTGGTCACAGTCATTGATGTCGGGATGGGAATTCTTTCACGTACATTCCGGCATTCCCTTATATCAAGAGCCCTGAAAGAAACAGGACAAAGGTGGAAAAGAAAGTTCTGTGTGTGTGTGTG